TCAGGTTTTGATACAGATCTTAAGCTTGGTGACGGCTCTGATGAACTGAAGCTTTCTGTGCTGGAAGTATATGAACTAGAAACATATTGTGTTGTATCACTTTCTTTTGAAATATAAAATTTTAACATTTCTAAAATGCACTGCTCTTTTATGTCGGCCAGGTCTGTATCCTGCATATGTGCAGCTGGGGAATACAAACAAACGCCACCTTGTGAATTATGGTCAAATTTGTTGACCATATGCCAACAACTTTTGTTTTAATTTTTTCTTTTAATTCTGCAATTGATGAGATGTCTGAAATATTGGGTTCGCATAGCAGACAAATTTTTGTAATTGAAGGCAGGACAAAACAAATTGAAGGCGCGCTGCAAGTTTGAAGTTCTTTAAAAATTCTTTCGAAGGATTCCAGCAACCCAACTAACATTTTTAATGTTGACCTATTCACATCCATTAATCTTTCGGTCCCTTTCTCGCTTAATATAGTGTTAACAGCCACCCAATTATCGTCGATAGACTTAAGCATTCCGTAGTTTGAGTTCCACCTTGTTGGGCATGAATTTTTCAAAGAAGTAGTTAAGTTATGCTGCAAGTTTGCTTTCTTGAAGTACCTTACAATTTTTTTGCATGTCGTCACTGTTTCATCGAGATTCGTTGTTTCTGTAAATGATTGTTCTAAACAATTATTAAAAAGATGACTGCTGCAGTTAAGCCTGATGTTGTTTTCTAATGCTTTTATAATGTTTCGGCCCCTATCGGTTACAAATATGACCTCCTCGATGTTTTCAATATTAAATTTTGAGAATACACTTTTAATTTTATTTAAAATGTTTTCTGCGGTGCTTTTCTCTGATTCCATTGATTTAAGACCCATAATTAAATCAGAAATAACGTTATTTTTCTGATAATGAATTGTGATACCCAAGAAGTTCCGTTGTAGATATTGGTCGGACCACATGTCAACGGTGGCAGCTAATCCTGAAGTATCTGCAGCTATTTTAATTTCTGATGATATCAGCCTTCTTTTTCTTCAGCGTCTTTTTTGGACCTTTCGACTTAAAGTTGAGGGACTTGGCAGTAAGTCATCCACATCTATTTGATCCCCATAGGTGGCACCAATTTTTAAAAAAAACTGCACCATGCTCTTGAATCCGGGACCGGCTACTGATGAAAACGGCTGACAATCTTGGACAATCCATTCACTGCATTTTTCAATAGCTTCTGCCTTATCTGTTGCCGACACCTTCGTCACTTCTATTGGTTGCCTTAAAGTCTTGCAACATTTATGCCGAGACAAATTTGATGTGCGACCAGCCACATGTTTCAGCACTTTTCGGCAGGTGCTACAATACAGCCACCCTTCCAACGCACTTTCATCTTCCTTAACAATGGAAACTAAAATGTTCCATATAATACTTTTTCCCTTATGTTTTTGTCCTAAAGTGTACTTTCCGCAATCAATTTTACTTTTAATAGAATCCGCCGTTTCGCTCATTTTGCGTATCGCACAACACAATTAACAAATGAAATTAATTTTATGAAAAACTTTTTTATAAAAATTTAAATTGCAATTAAAATGAAAAACTGTTTTGAAAAAAACAAAATTTAATTTTGTATTGCAATTTACACCTTTTTATAAAAAGAGTCTTTAAAAGTTTCACCCAAACTTGCACACACTGACAACAATTTTTTGAACTTTGAACTGGCCACTTGCACTTGTCACCTTTAAAGTACGAGTATGTTTAATACTAATTTGCATTCTATTTGACATTTGAAATGAAACCTCGCAAGCAATAAAATATAATACCAAAAAAACCCAAACCCTAAATAATCATAAAAAATAATCCTTTTTAGGCATTGTATAAAACCGCAACCTGTGGCAAAAAACCCAAAATAAAGACTAACATTGCAGCACAGGTACTAATAAAAAACTACATAGATACAAATCAACCTGTAACTTCAATAGCCCCTTCAGAAAGTCCCAATATATTAGGATTTTCCGTGTCGTCATCAAACCATCTACCTGCAAATGTATTCCCGTTTTTTGCAGATGCGTATAAAAATACAGATCATAAGTCAGTTGCACTGCGAATAGCAGGTAGATAACCTGGCACGGAAAATCCCAAAATATTTGGCCTGTTTTAAGGGACCATTATTGGGATTTCCTTCCTTCCTTTCATGTAAAATTATTCGGTCAACCCTCAATGACCTGCTCATGCAATACAGCTGAAGACACCCGAAACACACAGATCATTTCAAGACACACGACTCATCTCGAGACACTCGACTCATCTCGAGACACTCGACTCACTTTCAAGACACCCGACTCACTTTCCCAAAAATCATGGGTGCCTCAGACACTCGCTTCATTTGCTATGAGTGTTTAGGGTGTCTGTGCATTAGACTCATGTGCCTAAAATTGAGCGGGTGTCAAAAACGCAAACACTCATAACGCACAATCCGATTTGTGCACATTCAAAATGTGCTGTGCAAGACACTCACCCTTATTTTAGGGTGCCGATCACACTCTGAGTCCCGAAAAGGCACATATGATTCGAGTGCACTCATTGTATGGGTGTACCCTTGCCGTTCTCTGGTTTCTTCTTGTTATATTATTAGAATGTTATTTTAAAAACATAATTAGTTTCTAACCAATAAAATATATCTTGTTTTTCGTAAACGGTGCAGGAAGCAGTCATTTAGCTAATACCAGTATTATGGCTTACAATTTGTTCAGCATCATTGTATGCTGAATTATCTATTTTATCTATAATACAAGCCGAGATAAGCGTTTGCGAGTCGCTAATTGCTCGGCTCGCCCCATTACATTTCATTATCTATCGCTGTCAACTCGCAGTCGCAGCGCTGCTAAAATAAATCATATGCACCGCATTTTTTTTGTATAATTATAAGTTCAAAAACATATCTAGAAACAGGTGGCAAAAATTAATGCCCTCCTGAAAACATTTGGTAACCGCGACGTGATCGTGAACGCGTGTAAAAGTTATTAAATTATTAAATATCGTTTTAATAACTCCAAGCGCCTCTTACACAATTCGGTGTGAAGGTCAAAAAACTCAATTTGCATCGTTTGTACGGTATTTGCTTATACCTGCTTATACCTAATATCTGCAGTCAGCATCGGATGCTTTACATTTCGAAAATTTTTAAACAACGCCGAGCGTTTAGTGATCGCGGAGATGGAATCCGACGCGCGCATAAGATTTGCCAACAGGTACTGGGACACAAAAGAGAGAATTTGCCGCTACTTAAACAGCGAAAAAAGAAAGTCCTTAGCAAAGTCAACCGAATTACATGGCATCAGTGCCGCCTTCAAAGGCAATTCTAGGCCCACCAGACTGCCGGATTTTCATCTTTCGCGATTTGGAGGAGCATACATCGATTGTCCAGACTTCTACGCTATGTTAAGCACGGTGGTGGGAACAAACGAGGACTTATCAAATGTGGAAAAACAGCAGCATCTTCGTTCCTGCTTGGATAGCGCAGACACAATTGGACACATTTCGATCCTTGAAACCCACTGAAAGAAATCTTACAGGGCCTTAGAACTATTGATTTTACGATTTGATAATAAATTGTTACATTTCCAGGCACACGTTCGATCATTATTCAAGCTACCAGTTGTGGAGAAGATCAGCAACGAGTTTGCGGCAATTGAGCGGCAAGGCAAATTCACACTTGCGCGCCATCAGTATTATGGCAACTACGCAGGACGGTGTTTTGATCCATCTCATCTCTTCAAAGCTGGACCATCGGAACCAGTAGAGTTGTGAGGAGGGGTTGCCTGCAAAGGAGCTACACAATTGGGACAAATTTTCCACATTTTTAAATCTTTGGTGCCGCATAATGGAGAATTTGGAATTTGCCGAGGTATACGACGTTTTCACGTTCTCAAGGTCATAAACTTCTTCTCGAAGGGCAAGCCGAAGGAAGCGTTTTCGATTAGGCCTTTACGGTCCCTACGCTTCGCAAGTTTATTTCAGCATCTGCAACTGCACTGTAACTCCCAAAAATCTTAGCAATTATATGAGGTAACATGAACAATAAGAGATACAATGTTGTGATCAAATATATATCATATTCTTGGGATGTCACTGCAGTTTCAGGTGTTTTTTAATCCGGTCACGCCCACTTTAACGACCATAAAACACGATAAACTAAATTTGCTGAGATATGAGGAACTAAGAGAGTAAGAAAGTTTGCACAAAGCATGTACCACCAAGAAAACCAAAAACGCTAAAATACCTACGCCCACTATAACGCCAACAAACCGGAGATGTAGCCCAAAAATTTTTTAATTATCTATTTGTCAGGGGCTGAGACATTTTCTGCTTGCATTTTAATACTAACGCGCAGTGAGTCGTGGTCCTTTTTGAATACTCTCTCTCTCAGAGACAACTCAACAATTATGCAAAAAAAGGGAACCACAAATAACTCGTTGCTTAGTTTCTTTACACACGCTACACGCTTTACAGTTTAATTTACATTTTGCTTCTTCTTATAAATCTCCGACATATTCGTTTTTTGTCAATATCTAATATTATTTCACAATTTTTGCGTCAATATCTGCTAAAAAATTATTATTTAAGAAGTGGATAAGACAGTAACAGGTACATATATAACAGCAAACTACTTTTTCTTGTTTTTCATTAGGTTTAAATGCCGTGAAGCACAACCTTGCCAATACCCTTTTAAACAAATCAGTTGAAAATATACATAGATGTGATTGCATCTTACATGCATTATCAACCTTCTATCCCAAAAATATGCATTGGGGTTCTTTACTGAGTATTAATAATATACATAAGTGCATTCCCATTGTTGTAAGCACTTGGCGAACCACTGAATACGTGTTCGTATCGCCCGTGAAATACATACATTCCGCTTAAGCTCTACACATTATTTTTAAGTTTCTCAAGATAACATTAACCTCTAAGAAAATTACGTTTCCTTCTCCCAACACTGTATGATATTCGATTTTATTGATGTTCAACAAACGCAATAAGTTTAAATTTATTTCAAATAAAAATAGGTGTAACAAATATCCTCATATGAACATTTCAATACTGTATATATTTTTCCTCACAAAGAAAAAGAGCAGTAGATGGGAAACTACATTATTATTAGTTTGTAGTTACTCTGCTATTCATGTAGAATTGTTGGGCTGAAAGCAGCAATGTCAACACGTAGATGCATGCTGCAATCCAGCAGTTGTAAGCATTCTGAAAATAAAAAATAAATTCCCGTGTTATATAATATTGTTTTCTTGGGGCTTACATTATTGCACATAATATATACAAGCATATTTACCTGATTATACGCTCTATTTGCTGCAGCATAAAAGTCTTCCAAGGAATGGTACTCCTCTTCTAGAGGTAAGTCCTCAATAAGGGCCACACTATTAATGTAAAAGAATAGACCCATAAGAACCTAAAATAAAATAAATGTATCTTTATTTTTGCATTACCAACCAAATAAGAACATATGACAGATTAATACATAAACGTACCAGTTGAATGATACCCCAAACAGAGATAATAAGACCGCATAGGGACAGCTTAGGTCCACAGATTTGCATTTTACGGTGGATTTTAAAACTGCTCTGTTGGTAAAAAATTTTTAATATGCTTTAAGCACAGCAGGTTCTCTTCCGTTAAATTATCTGACACCAAACCACCAAAACTGTCAGGTGAATATATCAATCATGTGACTGAATTTCTGTGTGGCCGTATACAATTTCATAAAAATACTGTTTTAAAAGCAAAATAATGTTTTAAATTCTGAATATGTATATTACATCTGCAAATATAACGACATGTTCGGAACAGAAGAATTAGAAACACAGTGCATGTTTTAACTTAAAGGTTACAGTATTTTTAATGTATATACTTATATTCTAAAACATCCCGGGTTTAAAATTGACATATCTTATTGGTCGATATCCATAGAGTTCGTGTTGTTGTGTCACTGTCAAATTGGTTAAATTTGTTGAAACTTAACATGTTTAAACTACTAGCGTTAATGATTGCGAAAAGTATTGCATGAATTTTACATATATGTACATATACAGTATGTCAAGAAACTCTTTACACACTGACAAAAAAACATATTTTTTGACTTTGCATGCAAAAATAACGCCTTTAGCTATTCCTTTTCAATATCTGTTTAATGAATCAATATTAAATATCTTTTTAAAGTAAGTATGTGAAAAAATAAAAACAAAACAACGAAAGGGAACATTTTAATTACATACGAGGTGTGTTCAAAAAGTAAGGTGACTCTTCAAATTTCGCGAATTTCAAATTTTTCGATTATCGAAACCTTTTAGAAGTTATACGAGGTGTGTTCAAAAAGTAAGGTGACTTTTCAAATTTCAAATTTTTCAAATTTTTCGATTATCTTCAGTTTTGGGAACAAGAAAAAGTCACATGGGGCCAAATCCGGTGAATATGGTGGCTGAGGCATTATTGTGGTGTTGTTTTTGGCCAAAAAATCCAAATCCTTTGATCCATATTTTTCGATAGCAAAAAATCGCCGAGCTCGGAAAATAACTTGTAACTTTACGCCTCTCACAACCAAACAAAAGAGGATGTTCCATTGAAACTTGGTACAGATGTTAGGGAAGAGTGTACCAATATAACAAAACAAAAAAATCGATAATCGAAAAATTTGAAATTCGCGAAATTTGAAGAGTCACCTTACTTTTTGAACACACCTCGTATACATATACTACTAGAATTGATGATTGAAAACAGTATTGCATACAGCGGCTCGCAGCTTATTTCGTGCAGTTACCTAAAAAAGGTTGAGTCCTTACAATCATTAATTAAAAATGATAACAGAAAAATTTAAACCCAGTATTTTAACATGGAATATTAACACGATAATTAAACAAAAACTAGTTTTATAATCATTAAAGGGAAAACCCATTTGATAAAAACAACATTTTCAGACTTTTTCCATGCCGAAGCTTATTTTGCGCAGCAGATTCTACAATAATATCTTAGATAAAAGTATTTTGTTTTAGAAAGTCGGACATACTAAAACAGCAACATTTTTGGCAGACCTAGTAGGCCCAGTTAATAAAAAATCTAACATTAAATAAAAGCATAACGCAAGTAAATTCGATATCACTGAAATTAAGATAAATCTCCTCTGTGGACTGTCGAACATTTTAATCGATAGGTAGAATCAATATTGGTAGGAAAATGTAGTATTTCTTAAGTTATCGATCTTGTGTGGATTTCTTGGCCTTTGAGGTACGGCCCTACTAATCTCGATAATGTAAATGCCGCCAAAAGAGTGCCTTTTCATTGTCTTGTGAATTGTAGGAGAGCGCGCTGCGGTAAGATTAAGATTAAGATTCTGTAATGAAATGAGGCACGACATCTCCTTTTATTCGCAAGGGCAACTTGCGCTGGAGGACGGCTTGACGACACGTAGCGCAGTCAGCGGGCAGAAGGCGTAGGAGCGCCAAGCATCAGCGGCCGCAGCCAGCGGCCAGAAGGCACAGGTCCACCATTTTGAAGCGCTGAGGCAGTGCCATATTTGGACGGAGGGGAAGCCACCCCTACAACAACGCGAGCGGATCAGCAGCCAGCGAGTAGTGGGGCAGAAAACCGGCCGCTGGTGAACAGAACCACGTACAGTAGCGTCCCAACCTAGGAGCACTGCTGTCTCATCTACGAGTTCAGAGCAGGAGGTGAGCCAGTCACTCACTTCGTACCTTTTGGAAAGGATTACGGCGTTGGAGAATGAGCAGAACAAGGTTAAAACCTTGAACAGTGTGAGCACCGCCAATCGCAGTTGGCCCAAGCGCAAATGGCGCCAACAATGGAGCGTCGGGGCGGCCGCCATCTTGGAGCGGACCGCCAGTAGCCACATCGAACGGTGAGGCCCCAACTAACGGGGTCGGGCCGGTCCCACATAGCAGTGTCGGTGCGAGCCGTGTGGCCTGCACACTGCCGCCACCTTGGAGTGGACCGCCATTGCTAATGACTAGCAATCATCTTGTGGAGCCACTGTGAGCTACAAGTGCTGCGCAGATAGCGCATGTATTCGTGCTACCGTCCGGGAGCATCCACAAAATTGCAGCCCAAGGAGCGAATGGGCCAAGGAGGCTCCCGGACTTGCCTGTATCTTAAGCTGTGCGTTTGTGGAGACGACCCAAGCGTACAACTGCACGGACTTGGAGAACAACCAGAGGTTGTTGAAGGCGCTGAAAGATGAAGTACGTGAGACAGCGAAGTCGCTGCTGATTCACCCTGGGAACGTCAGCGCCGTGATGGAGCAGCTGCGCTTTGGGTTTGGCCGACCGGAGCAGCTTATATGCGGCCAGCTGAACAGCGTGCGAGAGGTGCCGCCGATTACCTAGCAGCACCTGGCGAGGATCGTTACCTTCGCAACCCGAGTGAGTAACCTTACGGCCTTCTTGCAGTCGGCGAAGGCGGAGCAGCATCTGGGGAACCCAACCCAACGCTAATGGAGGAGTTTTTTGGCAAAGAAGCCGAGGCGTCGAGTTCTACATGTGAACGTCGACCAGAACGGATTCGAGTAGCGCGATGATCGAAATGGAGATTGTCCAATTTGTGGAGGGCAACATGCTACGACGAGCTGCAGAGAGTTCATCGGAGCTTCTCCAACGCCAGGTGGAGCATGGTGAAGAGGCATCGGCTCTGCTTCACATGCTTACGGAGTGGTCATACGGCCAGATCCTGCGTTGTGCATGACGAGTGCCAGATCAAGCGGACGAAGGGCGAAGATGGCCGGAGCAGCGAGGTGGCTTTAGGTGCCACAACGGAGGAAACCAGCAGTCAGCAGTTTCCAGACGCAGCCCGGACAGGAGGTCTTCGCCACGAGGTGGTTACAGGGACCACGAGAGGAGCCAGCACTCGGCTGTCCTCAGAAACAGCCAGAAGAGAAGGGCCCCGCAGCCAGCGGAGGCGCCCGTGAAGAGGAATTTAAGCATTGACGCCGCGGGAGGCCGACTTTTTTTTCCGTATACTTCCAGTAACGCTGTACGGAGCTGATCGCCAGGTGGACACATACGCGCTCTTGGATGAAGGATCCTCCGTCACGATGAAAGACGACGAGCTACAGAGGGATCTGGGAGTGCGAGGTGAACATCGACAGCTGAACATGGTTTGGAGGAAGGGCCAGCAGGGAGCCCACAAACGTGGTGAGCTTGGAGATAAGTGGAGCTGGGAAGCCCACTCGCCACGCGTTGAGGAACGTGTACGCCGTTTCGATCTTGAGTCTGCCGATGCAGACGTTATGTCGACGAGATGTCCAGGGCGTGCATAAGGATGCGCGTCTGCCCTACAGCAACTTGGTGCCGAAGTTGCTCCTCGGACTGGCCATGGACATTTGGGATTGCCATTTAGGACGAGGCGGTATGCCAGAGAGGGACCGTATGCGGCCGCAACCGAGCTTGGATGGGTTGTGTTTGGGCCAGTAAGTGGGCAATCGACTACGCTGTCACCGAGGTTCTGCCTTCTAGCCGTGTCAATGGACGATACGATGGAAAAGAGGACTACTTCCAGAAAGCTTTGGTGTAAATCTCTCGCCACCGGTCGCAGCCAGCGACGGCGCGCGGGCCCAAAGGATCCTCGAAGACACCACGGTGAAAGTGGGGCGCCGCTACCAGACTCTGGAAGGACGACCACTCTGTGCTGCGTACAGACGGCTGATCAACGTCGAGAAGAAGTTGAAGCGCAACTGGCAGTTGGCGCTGGAATACGATCAGATCATCAAGGATTACGTATCCAAAGAAAGCTGCAGTCGGATGAGGTCGTGGTGAAGGGCGACAAGCCATGGTATTTGCCACATTTTGGTGTCGAAAACCCGAACAAGCCCGGTAAGGTCCGGTTTGTGTTTGATGCTGCAGCCAAGGTTGGAGGAACCTCGCTAAATTCGGCGCTGGTCAAGGGACCTCAACACTACAAGCCCTTGTCAGCCGTGCTCTTCCACTTCAGGAAAGAAGCAGTCGGAGTCTGCGGTGACATCAAGGAGATGTTCCACCAAGTGCTGATCCGACAAGAGGATCGATGTTACCAACGATTCCTTTGGAGAGATGGTAACGATGATCGAGACCCAGATGTGTACGAGATGAACGCAATTACGTTTAGAGCAGCCTGCTCGCCGAGCACTGCGCATTACGTGAAGAAGGTAAATGCCCTGAAGTTTTTGGATTCAGATCCGAGGTCAGTCAAGGCCACCATCGACCACCATTACGTCGATGACCATGTGGACTTTTTCGAAATGGTCTCGAGATGAACGCAATTACGTTTAGAGCAGCCTGCTCGCCGAGCACTGCGCATTACGTGAAGACGGTAAATGCCCTGAAGTTTTCGGATTCAGATCCGAGGTCAGTCAAGGCCATCATCGACCACCATTACGTCGATGACCATGTGGACTTTTTCGCTACGGAGAGCGAAGCTATGGAGGTAATCTCGTCGTGCACCGAGTGCAAGTTGCAACGGACGCGGCCGATGCCGCCGATAATGGGACACCTTTCAGAGGATCGCTTGGAAGCGGGAGGATGGCCATTAAAGCTGAACTGGACTACTTTTGGCCACTGCTGGTGACTGTTGCCCGTCACAGAGAGAAGCGTTGGGTCGTTGGAGCTTGAGCATGACCTGTCAACGGATTCCTGCATAATAGCGATCAGCAACTTTGTCTGCTGTAGAGGACAAGTACGTAAACTGCGGAGTAACAACGGCAAGAACTTCGTGGGAGCTGACAGGGAGCCCAGACGATTTGGAGATGTGTTCAAGACGGAGAGGATACAGAGTGAGTTATCCAGCAGGAGCATTGAATGGGTCTTTAATTGCCCATCCAATCCGTCTAAGGGTGGCAAACGACCTGCTCAAGGGAGCAGCTAACCTGCCGGATACGCCTGGATTGGATGCGGAGCTGCCCAAGGAGGGTTCTACGCGAAAGCAGTGGAGGATTGCTCGCATCCTGCGAGACCATTTCTGTAGGAGGTGGGTCATGGAGTTCCTGACTAGGCTTGTGCGCCGCGAGAAGTGGTGCCGGAGAACGGAGCCCATCCGCCAGGTCTTCGTCTGCGATCCTGCCGTGCCATGACGAGAGTGGCGCAAGGACATCGTGGAGGAGATCTACAGCGGAGCTGATTGAGTCGTCAGACGCGCCGCTGTGCGCGTGAATGACAATGGCCTATCTCAGACAACGTTGCGGCCCGTCTCTAAACTTGCAGTTTTGGATTTGAATGAAGCGGTTCTTCACGGGGTCGGGGATGTCGACGGTCGAGCATTGTAATCGATAGGCAGAATCAGTATTGGTAGGAAAATGTAGTATTTCTTAAGTTATCCGATCTTCACAGCCACGGCCATATGCCCTAAAAGTTACTCCCATTCTTTTGGACCTACGCGTGTGGGGAGCCGTTAAAGACAAATCCACATGAGGCAAGACATCCTCGGATACGAGGAATTAAAGCTCCACCACCGAATCCGAGTGATCGATCAAGTCTATATATTGTTTACCTTCTAGGAAAAATTTCGGAAATAAAAATAACCTATGTTTCAGATTTGGGATGCAAAAGACTGACTATTAGAAAACAAAGTAAAAGGTTGGTACGAAATCCCTACATGCTTAATCCAAACATTCTATCACTTATAGTTACCGAGATATCAGCTTTTCTATAAAATGCGAAAACTGTTTTTTGACCTTGGTGGGCGTATTGGTGGGTGTGGCCGGATAATGGTACCGCCATAAGATGAGCTGGCATCCCAAGAATATACATACTGAATTTCAACGTTCTAACTCTAATAGTTCGTGAGATTTAAGCTATAGTTTATAGTTCCTGAGATCTCAGCGTTTATACGGACTTCGGTATTGATCCTGATCGAGAATAAATACTTTATAGGGTCGGAAACGCTTGCTTCTATCTGTTACATACTTTTTAACGATCTAACATACCCTTTTACTCTACGAGTAACGGGTATAAAATTTGTTAGTGCATGCAAACTTTATATGTGTTAAATTATTGGCTAGAATGCTCACTATCTACAGATTTTACACGAATGTAAAAAGAAAAAACGCCACAGATTAACTTTAAACATTCGATTCCTGTATAGCCGCTTCGGTCCGCTCAGCAACTTTACTTAGTGTTCATATGAACACTTATAAAATATAAGAATGTATGAGCTCAGTGCTCGTCATGTTTCGAGTGTCACAATGTAAATCGATTAAGAGCCATATGTTATGATCTGCTATTGAAAACCAACAAGGGTGCAGTGTTAGCACATGTAATCTGTGAGTGCCCAAAATATCACGCTGCACAAAGAGTGCCGACGTAGTGGTCAAGAAATAACCCTCACGCGCATTCAATCTGACGCGGTCTCTGCGTAGACCATATATAAGATTTTCATTGCAGTTCTCTAAGCAGGGACTTAGAAATAAAGGACAGTTTCAAATCAGAACTCAATGAACTCAACGGTTGTTCTCATTTTATATTCTAACACCCCGTTCATTTTGGTCCTTCCACAACTCTGCAGTTTTCCCCCACCAATGGTAAGAGACAGATTATAAATTTAAAAGTAAAAAGACATAGAAAGAGGGTTTAGTGCTTAAAAATTGTTTAACAATTACAACACAACAACAATTTATGTAAAATATATACAAAATTGTGGTCGAAAAACTGGACAAAAGTTAAAATTTAAAATAAAATAAAAAATAAACAAATATATTTTGCCGTTTTCGAGGACTTAAAAAACATCGAAAAAGTGATTTATAAAATCTGGCGTATTTGAAGCCGAAACGTCCAAAAAGTGAAAACAAAAGTTAAAAAAAAAACATCTAGCCCACAAAAATTAAACAGTGACAACTAACAGTTAAAAAAAAATATAAATATATATATACATTGAAAATCAAGATCTACGACAAAATATTCACGCGATATAAAAAGTCGACAACAACTACAGCAGAGGTGGCAAGAAACAGTCTACAACAATTACAGCAGCAGTAAAAACAATCAGGCTACAGCAACAACAACAAACAGGCTACAGCAACAACTAGAAACCATCTACAACAACGAACGTCAGCAGCATCGACATCGAGCAAGCTACAGCAACCACAGCGGACAGCGGGGAAAACAGAAGCAGCAGCAAAGTCAAATTTAGAAGAGTTAGAAGAGCCTCCATGCCAAAGTTTAAATTATAATACGCAGTTCGAAGATTTAAAGTCCGAATGTTTAAAAAATCATTCAGCACTATTAAGAATTGGAGTAGTCGATCACGATTATTTCAAAAAGAAGCGTTTTGAAGCCATGATGTCATCGTTTGAAAAAATTAAAACTAAAATTGAAGAAGCCCTGCAAAAGGCAGACAAAATTGAAATTGATAATAAAGTTAGTAGTAACAGGTTAGAAAAGGCAATAGAGCAACTGAATAGTTACTTAAAAGTAACCATAGAAGATATCAAAGAGGATAAATGGAAATCCTTTGATATTAGAGTTCAGAAAATGGATTTTTATTGGAAAAACTAATTAGTCTAAAAGTAGTCGAAATGACTGATATCACTGATGATGATAATCTAGATGAGCTAGATTTTTATATTTTAACCGCTACAAATGACAAAAAAAAGAAACTCGCAGAAGTTGTGCCAATTTTGGTGGATGGTATAAATCATAAAATTGATGAATTACCAACGCTATCAAAAATTCAGGTACCGACATTTTTTTAAGATTTCAAGGATTGGGACCTCTTTTATGAGTTATTCAATGAACTCATTCATTTAAGGGAAGACTTGAGTCCGTCCCTAAAATTTAATTACCTTAAAATCTCACTTAAGGGAGAAGCCAGTAATGTGGTTTCTCACTTATTGTTGGGATCAGGGGAAAATTATGAAGCCGCTTGGGAACTATTAACCACAGTCTTCTTGAGCTTCAAAATTTAAATGTTGACTCAGAGAAGCAGTTAAAAATGTTTATTGACACTATAAATGAGTCAATTCACATGATAAAATTAAAGGCACAAATTTCTGACGAGGTTGATATAATCTTTGCACATATAATAAAAAATAACAGTACAACTTTAACCTCCGGAGAGATAAGCCGTGCCAAAACAGTGTAAAGCCTAGCTTCACGCAAATCAAAAACGTTATCAGCAAAATCTTGCACAAACAAATATTAACCATATAAGGAAAACAAAAAACCCAACATCACCAAACACACGGAAACCTCTAATACGGGCTCAAGCCCTTCATCCAATCATGATGGACCCACCTGACATTTTCAAAACTACCTTAAAATCGTATCATTCCCAATTAGGCGACCCGAAATTTATTGTAATTAAAAGGAAGGACAACGGCTCATTTGAAAAAATATCACCATTCCTAATTAAAAAATAAGAGACGGAACAATGTTAATAAAAACTAAAAATGAATTGCACGCCAGAAAGCTCCTTAAACTTGCAACAATCGTAGAAATGGAAGTGACAGCAAGCGAACATAAAACATTGAACTTCTTTAAGGGAGTTATTTATTGTAACGACCTTAGATATATTGACGAAGACACTATTTTACAAGAACTAAAACCACAAAAAGTAGGCGAAGTTAAAAAAATAATGAAATGACAAAATCCCAATACTAACTCTGATAGCAGCAACACCACTCTAGTTGAAACCGGATTGATCATTATGACATTTGAAACACACAAACTCCCAGAAATATTGCGAATTGGGTACGAAACAGTGCGTGTACGAGAGTATATCCCACTTCCTCTCCGATGCAGAAGATGCCTCCGCTTTGGTCACCCAGCACCACTAAGCAAAAGCTCCGAAACCTGGACTAATTGCTCAGAAACAAAACACACAAACGACGATGAAACATGCAAAAACGAAAAAAAATGCCTAAACTGCAAAAACAACCCAGAACTTGACCATCAGCACAGCCCAATCGACCGCAAATGCCCCACATTCATAAAAAACAAAGAATTAACGGCTATTAAAACCACACAAAAAGTTGACCACAAAACTGCCCAACGTATTTATTTCGAACGACACGGATTTCAATTGAGGAACACCTATGCCAAAACACTTGCAAACGCCACAACTCAGATGACAACTAACCCTCAATCACCGAATACTAATATAAATACACACACAAACACAACCGCACATAAAAAATCGAACACCACACCTACATCAGGAACTCAAACGCCTCCATCAAATACGACAGCTACCGGTTTAGTCACAACAACTCTACCATCAAGCCAAACTCTTCAACGCCATCACCACCACGATTACGACAAACTAGAAGACATGGATACTGACTGCATCACACATACCAGAAAACTAACTACACCATACTCATCACAACTCACAGAAGACTCACTAAAAATAAAAATCTTCAATAAAGATAAGTCTAAAAACCTAACAACTAATCTTAAAGCATCTAAGACTAAGACCAAAGCGCTAAACAAAAACAAACTTACTAACAACGGCGAAAGCGAATCCATATAGAACCTTAAACTCGAAGTAAGACTTAAACTTAAACCGTTAATACTACTAATAAAGTTAAGTTACAAACTTTTTTCTTCACTAAAATGTCATTAACAATAATTCAATGGAATTTAAAAGGATATGTAAATAACTATAACCAACTCCTTATTCTTATCAAAAAACATTCACCACATATAATTTCCCTCCAAGAAACCCACATTCAATACACTAATAATATACAAATCCCAATAAACTACAAACTATTAACAAACATAGCAACCAACAGATTTGGCGGCGTAGCACTTTTAACAATGCACACCTTATTTTACTGAACGACAAATCTCCCACTCATTTTTCAACTCACAATACTTACACACACATAGACCTAACACTCTGCTCTCCAATTTTGGCCCCCCGCACTATGTGGGAAATACTGAACGACCTTCACCCTATTTCCATCAACTAATACACACAAATTCAACAGACCCTTTTTTAAGCTAAAAGAGGCCAACTGGGAAAAATACAAGTTATTTAGGCAACAATCAAACGAAAAATACCCAACCTCTCGAAACGTAAACAAAGAAGCAGTCCAAATTAACAGAATCATTCTATCTAGCGCAAACCTTTCCATCCCACAAACCTCACCAAATACCCACCCTTACAGAGTTCTATGGTGGAACAAAAATCTCGACCAGCTAGAAAAAGAAAAACAAAAAGCGTGGAAAACACTTGAAAATCCAGAAGAGTTTTCCCGGAAAAATTACTTTAAAAATTTAAACAAAAAAAAGACTTGCGACTAGCGGCTGGGGAATTTCCAAAAAAAGCGAGACAAACGAAACGAAGTTGGTTCCAAAGTTTATTGCTGCCAGCTGCTTCGAGGTTCGATCGGTTAATGTTCTCCCGAGAGCAGCATAACACTTCGTATAGCCACGAACTGAAAAGCTTATCAGTTAGATCACAACAACTCGGCTATGCTCAAGATTGAGTGAAACTGATAAGCTTTTGTACATTGGTTTTTAAGGTGGTTTGTCTACATTTTGCCTGCGTATTCAAATAATTATTTCTTTTTATCTTTCCTTAAAACTAA